AGTACAGAGTATACCAAATAACCACGGTAAAATAACTTGTCAAATTGTCTGCATTAGATTATTGATAAACTAAAGATATAATGCTAATAAAATATATGCCATAACGATTTTTAGAATATACCCTGGAACTTATGGTAAGTACTGTAGTCTAGGTACAATTAAAGTATAGGAATAAGTATTATGTGATTATAAATATATAATCATTTAGAGAGATCCCAATGTACCACCATTTGGGAAGCATGGTTTTAATTGCAAATACATATCATTTGAATTATGATTGAAATATGAATTTACGAGCAAATTGTGAAACAATAGTGAAGTGAATGGCTATTGCATTGAGTGTGAAATGCTTGTGATGTTTGCCAATGAGTTGTTGATTGCATTGACAGAGTGTGTGATCAGTGGTGCCACCAATGCATAGGCAATAGACTCACTGAATGGCGTATTCATTGCATTCACACATCACTGACTGACCATTGATTTCCTCATTCATTGTATTATTTTATGTTTTCATTTGATTTTCAAATATTATATCATAATTCACTGTTTTATTATTTCATACATGATTTATTTGAATAGCTAATTATATTTATTTATTTATACACTAAAAGTGCAATATTTGTTATAAATGTATGATATGTACCGTTATTTTCATTGAATTCAATGCCAATTGAATCGTTGCGTAAGTTTGTCAAAATATTTATTATATTTAGCATGCATTTTATAAAATGGATATTTATCTAGGTACTTATTGTTTAGTATAACTGTAAGTAAAGTGTTGATATGTTTTTGGCAATAATTGTTTCATAATTAATGTGTTTATCAAAAGTGTGTCAAATGATGGACACATCACATGACTCTCACATGTCTTTCAAATGCCATTTAAATCAATGTTTAACTGCTTTTGACGGACAATCATATGAAGTGATAAGATGTTTGAAAAACAGAAAAATTTGTTATTTTATCACTTGTTTGATAATCTGTTGATTTAACTACTGATAAATTACTTAAAGATATTTAAATCCTCCCATTAAGTTAGATTATACTGTTATTTGATGATTATTTGATGTACAAAGTACTGTAGTGCACATTTTAATGTGATTTAATTAGCTTTTATATATACATAAGTTGAGTATTTAATGAGATTTCATTTGACTATTGTATTGAATATTTAGTTTGATTTGAAATGCAATTGAAAGTGCATTGAATCGTGAAGTGTATGAATAGTTATTACAATTGTATGGCAATGTGTGTCACAAACAGTACAACACTTGAACTTTAAAGTGAAATTAAATTAAATTAAAGTGAAATACTAATGACTAAAACATTGGTTTGTCTCTAATAGACGGCATATTTAGTCACACAAGAGATCCCATACATAATGGCCCCGCTATTCAGCAAAAGTGCAAAAAGTCACAAAACGATAGAAGATTTGAACGATTATTGTTTACTCGATATTATCGACAAATTGTCGCTTAAAGAGAAGTTCAGATTCCGACTGAACAACCGATTCAGACATCTGGTCGACACTAATCTCAATACAACGAGAGGTCTGAAGATTGGCCGAAATGCTCGCAATTGCTGTGATCCCAGACACTGGAGTCTCTCGCTTACGATTGGCGGACAACAGGGCAACGATTTGTTTGAATTGAATGACAAGAATAAGAATATTCTGAAAATGATTTTCAGATTTTGTCCGAACATTAGATGCATTGAAATGAGCGCTGAGGTGGACCTGAAAATGATGGTATGGATCCGAAAACGATGCAAACTCTTGGAGTGTTTGCAATTGAATAAATCTGTTCTCAATAGTCGTCTCACGTCTCGCCAGTGGATACAAATCGGAGAGACATTGTCCGACAATTTGATTCACTTGTCAATGAATTCGGTGACAAATCCCGAGAAGTTGACTGAATTTGGTCTCATTTATATGGTGCAGAACTTTACAAATCTCCAAGAGTTTAGTTTCGATGTCTACGAAATGCCAATCGACAAGGTTTTCACATATTTCGGTCCAAATCTAAAGACCTTAAAACTCAACAAATGCTATAAATATAGAGTCCATCCAAACACTTTCAATATTTTAAGACAAAATGCCATTAACTTAGAGCACCTGGAAGTGGAGGGCTATGACAGAGAGACTCTGGACATCATATGCAATACATTACCACATCTGAAGTCATTGAACATATTTTTCTTCACGACGTGGCCTGATATGGATTCGTTGTCACAATTGTCTCAAATGCCAGACTTGGAGCACCTGAAGGTCGAGTTCTATCAGAATCGCGGAGTAATTAATTATTTGGCGAAAAGTGTTTTCCTGAAACTGGAATCACTGAACTTAACGGGCATTTCATTTACTCCCAAATTGTTTCAAGACTTTGGCCTCTATTTCCCAAATATACGGCAATTAGTTCTCCAAAACTGTTCACTACTTTGCGACGACCGAAGCGATGACTTCCGCGACCGACAGGACTGCAACGATTGCAAGGAAACAGTTTGGAGACATTTGTCGAAATTAAGTCATTTGAGAAAACTGTCGGTCAATCTGTTGCCCCGAAAAGACACCGGATTTTCCAAGTCATACGTCTGGACATTGAATGAGCGCTCGTTTCCAGCCATCGAAGAGTTGGACTTCCAATGGCTTCCATACGATTCGCGCACTTTTGCCGACAACTTATTGAATCCTTTGATGGCGTTTGCGAGGAAACACCCAAAACGTATGTTTAAACTGAGAGTCAGTTCAGACTTCTTCGAGTCTGTGACGAAGAAGAAACAAATCAATGGTATTAAGTATAACGTGTTGTCGTCCAGTATTGAGAGAAACGTTAAGATTATTAATTGTTATCCTTAAGTGTATAGTTTATTAGGCCTACAGTTAGCCTTAAAACGAGATAAAATCTCAAGTTTTTCATTTATTTTAATCTCATTTAAGATGATTTTTAGTATTTTTTATGATCAAAGAAACGATAACTTAATAACGATTGTTATAATGATATTTTGTTAGAGATTTGCAATTCATGACAATTTTTGTGATTTTTATTGATTTTTCAAATGAGTATTTTTTATATTTTTAATACGAATGAACATGTGTAATAATGATTACATTTATCTCATTATATTTTATAATTTGAATTTTTTAATGGATTTATTTCTTGATTGAATAATAAAATGATTGAATTATCAATTGCTCTCAATTTATTACCTTTATTACTACCGGTTCTGACAACATACTTACTATTTAATCAATTAATAAGTGACACTTATTTGTGTTCAATAAATCAAAAAGTGGTTTAATACAATGTTTAGACTTCATTAGGGACAATAATTATTAGTCTTTGAATTTTAAATCCTATGAATTTCAAGTAACCTCTAATTAATAGAGACTCGAATTCATTAGGCTTTGCATTGATTATAAATATTTGCTTAATTGTATAATAAAAATATTATACTTTTTATTGATATTATTTGATATGATTGCCGACAATATAAGTCCAATAATTAAATCAGAATTAAGATGATATAAAAATGAAGTGTTCAAAACAATTGATCTCTTAATCTAAAACTCATTTCAATCCTCGCACACACGGCTCACCACTTGTTGCAAATATTAGTGAATAATCAGTTAATCAGTGAAAATGTCCAAAAAGTTGGTCTGTGTTTTGCTGGTCGTTGTATTTCTGGCGTTTATCATAGAGAGTGAGTGCGCGACCAAAAAGTTTCTCAAAGGCCTACTCATCGGCGCTTTACTCAGTGGTGGACATAAGGGCGGCGGCGGTGGCGGAGACTCACACCACGCGTACCATCACTACTATCCTCTTTAGTAAGTCTCATAGTTATACCATTTCTGTACAATATTTCTAATTTTCTGTAAAATTAGCAGACTATCAAATTAAATACTGTAATATGATACAGAGTAGTTAAGGAATTTATTATTATTAATAAAACCCTTTGACAAAATATAGGATTAAAAAATACAGTTTACGAAACGTTATAATACTTAGTATAATTTGTTATTAAGAAATTAAGTAACATTATGATTATAAATAATAATAATTATAATCTTGTTAGTTTTTGACTATTGATAAATATCAGACTCTTTAATATAGCCATTATGACCAAGATCATTATGGATCTAATGATCATTTTGAATCTAATGATAATTTTGGATACAAATAATAACTTAAATCCTAAGCCATTCAACACACAATTGGATAACTGGTCACCAATTATGTCAATTAATCATTTATTTGAATACTTTTACTTTAAAAATATAATATTACTTATATTTTATTTATTTTGTAAATATAATTTTAGTTATAAAGTAAATAAAACTTAGATTTAAAACTTAGCTAAAATTTTATTCAAAAATATTTATCGAATAAACACGCCAATCTCAAGGAATAATATATTCAAAATTGATATAACAATGAATTAAAATATTTATCTTTTGTAACTGGTTAACTGGTGTTTGGTTATTAATCTATTGAACTTCAAATCTACTTTTGTTAAACTTAATTATTTTATATTTTCTTATATACCTGTACTTGTAAATGACAATTATATAAACTTTAAAATAATTATAATTATTTATTCACAATATTTCAAATAATAATACACTCATTAAATTATATCTTATATAAAATATGTCACTCATGAACTTATGTTACAATTATTTGAATGTAAAGTATGTCTCCATAACAGTAAATTCAATATCACGCATATTCAATACCTATGTACACGTTCATATAATTAAACAGCAATTATAACGATCATGTTGAAAATAATTAATTGATTAACAACCTTATTGAATACATAGCAATATGATAATAAAAAAGAAAGCATAAAAAGTGCAAAAAATACCGCCCCCGGGTGGGCTCGAACCACCAACCTTTCGGTTAACAGCCGAACGCGCTATCCGATTGCGCCACGGAGGCGATGAATATGCCACTCACTATTTGCCANAATATGTGGAATATGTGGGATGAATGTACACCACTATACAGTACAGTACACTATTCACATGTTTACTCTACAATACAAAAGAAAATGCATATTCTTTCCCAAGTTTATAGTGTTTTATAACTTGTTTTTCACATATCATAGTATGATACCATACCACCAAACTTTTGGTGAGATAATAATATAAAGAGTTAGCGATGAGTTGGTAGTGAAAGTCACCGGCTGTGCAAATATACAGTACATCCCTGTATTACGTCTTTTTCTTCCACAACAGTCTCATAACAATTACTTTATTCCCCGACTATTACCATGTATTCATATAATAGTGAGAAAAATGTGCGAATTTTCGCATTTAGTTTTCATTTTATTACATTAGCTCTCACTATAAATATTTACGTTTCCAATACTTTTCAATTCCTTTGCTCCTATTTTTTATTAATTTTAATTTTCTTTTCAATCAAAACATTTGTTTTTCCAAATGAAAATAGATTTCATCGACGCCTTAAAGAGTTAGTCAAAGCTTTTAAATTGTATTATTGGTTGTGTTATCCGAGTTTCCAACGAAAAGTGTAATACAAGTACAGCAAAGAATACGACAAAATCTACTGAATAATGAATTTCTATCCTTTGCTTCTATTGTTTCGGTTAATGTTTTTTGGAGACAACTTTGTTTGGAGTAATTCAATATTGAAAATGATTACCTTTTGATACGTTTTAAGTCTTATTTAGACATCTTTTTGTCATGTAATTGAAGGTCAGGTGCAGACACAGGTTTGGCTGACCATCAATCCGTTAGCTGACAAGACTTCTCAGAGACTAATTGAGATTAATTGGAGGAATGCCCCCAAATCTAATCTTAACGATTGGGTTGGAATATTCACATCTGATCCCATTGACAGCACCGGTGCTATTAGAGTAGTTGATGTGAACTCCAGATTAAATGGATATAATGTGTGAGTAAACTAATACTTTTATTTTTATCCTATTTAAATATTTATAAGGTAACTAATTTTATGCTAAGAATTATACAAGATGTATAAATCATTTTATTTAGAATATATGTTATTTGCATATTTACAAGGTATAGGATTTCCAGCTCATGATTAGACTTCTAATAATACTAAACATAATTTATATGAAAAGATTAATTAAAATGTGTGATAAAAAACAAGTGAGATCAACAAAAACACTATATGTTAAACAATATTTATTTTCTACATACTGCACACACTGTGTATTCAATATGGTACAATGTTAAAGTATAAATTATACGGGATAATTAATTGTAAAGAATTGAATAAACAGGACAGACATTCAATTCCCATACCGAAACTTTGCGACGGGTAAACTGACTCAACAATGTCTGGGCTATTATGTGGCGTATATTCACAACAGTATTGTATTTGCAAAGAATTGCATCAAAAACAATCCGTTTTGGATGGAAAACAATCTGTCAATAATTGGTGACAAGAAACTGCCGTCACTGGTCATACCGGGCACTCATGACTCCGGCAGTTATGAGAAATGGGGGCCAAAATCTGTCGGCG